ATCTATTCATTCACCCGTCTGTTTGTGCGCCTAAGTATCCATCCGCTTGCCTGTCTGACTTTATCTCTCAGTTTATCTATCTATAAATCAGTCTATCAGTTTATCTATTCATCCACCCATACGTTTAAGTATGGATCTGCTTCTCTAGCTCTTATTCCACCACGGAATAAACCGCGCCATCCATTATGGGAGAGGCTAGATCAGTAGCAACTCAAGGAAGTGTCACTGCTTCTGTTTTGATAACCATTAAAATAATTATTTTCCAAATTATTTAGACCTTTTGCCAGTGATGGTTTCTCTCCTTTATCCATTTTGGATAAAAAAAATCCTTCGGGACTTCATAAAGGATTATATGCAGGCTGTATTAATTCCTAACCTAAGCCTACCTTACCTTACGTAACATAACCTAAACTTAATTATTAACCTCGAGAGAAGACAAAAATGTTATCTCCGTAACAGTCACACCTTATACAATAACAAAGGAGTTAAAAAATAACCTTATACTATAACAAAGTTAACTTTATACTTTATGCTATACTATACTTTATACTATAACAAAGTGAACTTTATGGCCCGCACTTTAAAAACCTTTCGCCAGGGATGTCGTTCGCTTTCGCCGGCGATCGGGAATTTCGTACTGATTGCATACCATTTTCTTGCTTTCAAATTATAAATAAGTAACATATTTGTGTATGATATGATGTAGGAATCACACTGCAATTTTAGAATATCTGAAAATCACAATTTATTATGAAATTACGTATATACGTAGTTTTTTCGCGATGTTTTTAAATTACAATGTGATTCCTATATCATATCATACACAAATTTGTCTCCTTCTTCCTGGCTTCCTTCCAGTTCTATCGCTTTTCCTTCACAGAAAATTGCGTTTTCACTGTTTTTGCTCTTTGTGGTTTTTAGCTGATGCGTTGCACTTATCTGAGATGAGTTGGGCATATTTTCTTTTATTTTTTTTTTTTTGTTTGTTTGTTTGTTTGTTTTTCGTCGAAATTTTAAGCCCACAGTACTCGGATTTCCATGGGATCCACACTCGTTAAGTTCACAAGGTTCATGTTACCAGATATAAAAGACACCTGCGAGGGATTATATTGACTATATATATGTATATATATAGTGCAATAGAGCAATCGGAATCCAAAGTGCAAATGAAACAATTTATTTGTATGTGTATGTGTCTAAATAAATAAATATATATTATGTATATATATATATATATATATATATATATATATATATATATTATATCATATATATATGTATATATATATATATATATATATATATATATATATATATATATATATATATATATATATATATATATATACATAATATATATATTTATAGACACATACACATACATATATATATATATATATATATATATATGTATATCATATATGACACATACACATACAAATAAATTGTTTCATTTGCACTTTGGATTCCGATTGCTCTATTGCACTATTCACGTTCTATGACCTGATATTAAAAGATAGAGCACTTGTACATATGTAATATGTCTTGTTTAACTATATATAATTAAAAGATAAATTACTCTTTCACGTTCATTACCTGAATAATCCTTACTTTTGTGAACATGAACTCACGTTAAATACAATCCATTTTATATGAAAGAGTGACATGTTTCATTTGTAATTTTCTTTTAATTATTATTATTATTCAACAAAAAGAGTTAAAACCGAACCGACATAACGACTCGAAGATAATAACCGAGTGTATTATTTCTTCCGTTTTGGTGGAGGAAAAAAAATCATAAAATGAAGGAAACAACTAACTGCCACCTGTCAATAGACTGTTCAAAACTGCGGGATAGTCTGTTATCATTACTGCAACAAGGGCTGTTATTTCAAGGGTTGCTCAACCACGCACACACATACGAGAAAATATATAATTATAATATTATATATATATATATATATATATATATATATATATATATATATATATATACATATATATATATATATATATATATATATGTGTGTGTGTGTGTGTGTGTGTGTGTGTGTGTGTGTGTGTGTGTGTGTGTGTGTGTGTGTGTGTGTGTGTGTGCATATGTGTGTGTGTGTGTGTGTGTGTGTGTGTGTGTGTATGTGTGTGTGTGTGTGTGTATGTGTGTGTGTGTGTGCATATGTGTGTGTGTGTGTGTGTGTGTGTGTGTGTGTGTGTGTGTGTGTGTGTGTGTGGTGTGTGTGTGTGTGTTGTGTGTGTGCGTGTGTGTGTGCACATATCTGAATGACAGACAATGGAGAACCATTCTTTCTGAGTGTCTATTTCCTTGGTGAATATTAAATATAACTTTGATATTTTGTATGCTCTGTTGATAAGGGTATTTATGGAATTGGTTTTGATGGGAATGATAAAAGTGATGGGAATAAGGAATGATAAAAAGGAAATTTCGTCTTGAATGTAATATGTTGCAGTTGAAAAGTGGAAGGCCCTGTAGATGTTGCAG